ATTAATGACATCCATCAAATGGGTCATTATTACCATCATCACAATCTTCTTCATCAACAATGATTTAATCTCCGCAAATTGGTAGACATGGTAGATTTATTTCATCATCCTAATAACCAGGCTAACATAAACATTAATTTCTTTAGATGCTTCTATGGTATTCTTGAACACAAGAAAGACAATCTTATTTCGAAGTACCAAAACAATGTTCACAAAATTTATTACATTAAATACAAACATTCCCTTATAAAAATGTAAATGGTTTACAAAAACATATACCATTTTACAATTAGAATTGATCACTAATACATTAAGTACAGTCTTCTGCACTCACGCATGTATTGCATCCAGGTTGATCACAATTATTGCAAGTATAAGTTTCTGTTTAATCATTAAAGTATAAATATTAATTATTACTACAACTCGAACTTGTATAACCAGACTACCAAACATTACATGAACTTGAACTAGAGCAGCTATCACAAAAAGGAGGACACTTTAAAATATTGATTAAATTTACATAATGAGCAACAATGAAATAATCTGATATTGCACAGAATCCTTATAATATATTAATTGTGTTGGCTGCACATTTGAATTCTAAGTATAAGTCGTTATCATAAAAATTATTCAAATGTACATAAAAGAATTAAGTACTTTCTATATCATTACGACCAACTAAGTTTGATCCTCCTCCGGGATTAAAATATGGTCCTGAAAATGAGCTGCTTAAAGAACCGATTTTATAAAAAAATTAACCACCATAACTATCACCATATGTAAAATTAAAATAGATTGACACTGCATAATGAGGTTTTTAGATTCTCCATGTCTTAATATATGATCCGTCATTCCAAACTAATAAACCTCCTAATACTATCTTATTATTAAGAAATGAAAATTTTTGGCCAGTTACATAATTGCTGGATGGATTTGTTGCAGTATCATAAAATGAATTGATATCTTCAATTGTCATATTCAAATCGTAAAACCCTTTTGCGATATATCTTGAATCTAAAATATAGTTTTAATTCTACATTGAATGATATCTTCATAATCAACACAATTCGATGAGTGAATTGGACACGAAATTTCACATTTATTTTTATATAATTAATACCCAGTTTCACATGATAAACATTTAGAATTATCAAAACAAATCTTACAATTATTTTGACAAAATCCAGAGTCTATAGTCACATTTCTAAAACCCCAGAATTCATCTTCTTATTAAAGTTATCCTTAAAGTATAATTATTGGATTTTCATTTAATAATTAAAAAGTGATTTCTACTCTCAATAAGATAAAACTACTACTAAAACAATTATCATTTTTTTCAAATATTGTTATCAGGTTTTCATATTAAAAACCTGATGGATCTTTCATGATTCTAGAGAGTGTTTGATTATTATGTAAAATTTCAATTTTACTAGAATCTTGAAAATTAAACAAATAAAAAGTAATACGCATTCTTAAGAATTTGATTGACTCTTGTAAGTTAATTTGATATAGCATTCCTTCACTAAATTATAGAATTCCAATAAAACTAATTCCATTACAATTCTCATAAATTAAATCTGTGTTTTTTGGATGAAATTTGTCAGATAGAAAACTAAAAGGATGATATCTAAATTAACTGGATTATGGAATGATATTATTAAATAAAGTAATGATTGATTTAATTCGGTTGTCCTAAACACAAATTTTATCATATCTAGCTATTGAGTAATCTCTATTACATTCTTAAATACAACCTAAAAAAGTTTCTGAAAATTATTAGTCTGAAATGCATGTGCATTTTCCGCCTACTACACTTTAACTATTATAACATGTTAAACAATTTGTTTCTAAAGGACCATTACAAGTTAAACATGTAGGATGGCAAGTATTGACATAAATTAACATGTTTCTAATGCCTATTTACTCATCATTAGAACGAGGAGTTAAACAAATTGTTATCTTAAAATAATCATTGTTAAAATTGGCTATATTACTTACTATTGTGTATAATTCAAATTTGTTTATAAAGGTTTTACAAATCACTTCACTATTTTGAATTAAATCATTTCTATCATATTCTCTGGAGTAAATTACTTCCTAAAATGATGTACTAAAATAAGTAACTGAAAATTTAGATGAAGATAGTTCTGCTTCGATAAAAAAGACATCCAAAATTACTTAAACTTAAAAGCTTTTATAGAAGAAAGATTTTTGTAAATAAGGCTCATCGTCAGTTAATTTGATATACTATAATTAATTTGTATTACAATTTCCAACTCTAGGGGAATCTGAAACTGTTGAGGTTGTGCAGGAACCTTTTGATATCCAAGTGTTAACATTCAATATTTAATCTTCTGTAAAACTTTAATCGACCAGTCTCCAATTTGCAACAACACAACAAACATTGAGTAGTAAGAGTATCAACTCAAAAAAATTTTAAATCATTTTATTTTTTAATATCATTTACATTCTAATTATATGAATAATAAACAAAAATTAATAAGAACATATAACATTTAGAATAACACTCATTGTTGTAAATTATATTAAAAATTACGATTTGGAACCCATTAGGCATTATATTATTCGAATCATATGATGAATGATCATATTGATGCCCAAACCATAACATAAGGCTTTCTAGTAATCTCTAATAAAAATTAGTAACTGTACTTATTATTTATGATTACTCCATAAACTATGATATAATATAAATATAGTTAAATAATGAATATCAATTTTATTTAGATGACTTTGGTAAATATTGGAACAGCAAATTATAAATTGAAAAATATATTACATAAAAGTAATTGAAACAAAGAAAATTAATTATTAAAATTAAAAAAATAAGTTGTTCAAAAAACAGCTAAAGCATCTATGCAGAAGATCAAGAACAAAAATCAGTTATAATTAATAAAACAATAATTTTTCTTATTTTTAAATTAAATTTGAAAACAATTTTTCTTATGAAATTGTGATATTAAGGTTAGAATATAATAATTATTTACTTTAGGCTCTTATATATTATTTCTTTCCAAATTGAAAAGAAAGTTTACTACTTCTGGGTGTAAATTTAATAAGTTAATAATGAAAGTATAAAAATGCTAATTCTCCCATAACATTTCCTATTCATCATGATTAGAATTAAATTTCACTCATGAATAAGAAGGTACACATTTATCATAATTATTTACTCCTTCTAGAACTTAAATTTCTTTAAATGAGTTTTTCAGCATTTTTAAGTTTCTAGTAGGGAAACTATTATCACAATTAGTATAACAAAATTAAATCAAAAATCAAATAAAACAGACTCTTTAGACAAACCAATGGAAGGAAATGATTAATATTACAAATATAGAAATAATAATTTAAAGATAATAATGCATCTAAGAATGTTTATAATTTAAAAAACAATCTATTTTTTTAGAATTATAAAACCTTAAAATATTTATTAAGAACACTTTAATAAAGTGAAAACAGTTTATTAAGATATTAGATTTGTTTATAATATATTTTTTTTATTGTTCGTTCATTCTAGATATCTATAGGGCTTCTCTAAAATTACTTAATTTTTCTAATATGATAACAAAAAACAGTTTATATTTAGAAGCTATTCACTCAACAGTATTAGATTATTTGATACTTTTGCAATTTTATATTACTTTTCTTTATCTAATTAGAAATTGATTAAAGGATTACAAATTTGAAAAGCCTCTGGATATCTATTTCACTCATTTAAAGCTTTAACTAAAAATAGTTTTAAATAATATATTTTTTTCAGCCAAAATATTCTTGTACTTTTTCATTGCTTCATCCTATGATTCAATAACTTATTCAAACAACCCTTATTTAAATAATGCTTAGGCTAAATTCAAAAAGATATATTAATCTCCGAAATTTTATATACATATCATTTTTATGTATGAATTCATTACATAATTTAAGAAGTTAATCTTTTTCATTTAATTCTGATAANAATATAAATATAGTTAAATAATGAATATCAATTTTATTTAGATGACTTTGGTAAATATTGGAACAGCAAATTATAAATTGAAAAATATATTACATAAAAGTAATTGAAACAAAGAAAATTAATTATTAAAATTAAAAAAATAAGTTGTTCAAAAAACAGCTAAAGCATCTATGCAGAAGATCAAGAACAAAAATCAGTTATAATTAATAAAACAATAATTTTTCTTATTTTTAAATTAAATTTGAAAACAATTTTTCTTATGAAATTGTGATATTAAGGTTAGAATATAATAATTATTTACTTTAGGCTCTTATATATTATTTCTTTCCAAATTGAAAAGAAAGTTTACTACTTCTGGGTGTAAATTTAATAAGTTAATAATGAAAGTATAAAAATGCTAATTCTCCCATAACATTTCCTATTCATCATGATTAGAATTAAATTTCACTCATGAATAAGAAGGTACACATTTATCATAATTATTTACTCCTTCTAGAACTTAAATTTCTTTAAATGAGTTTTTCAGCATTTTTAAGTTTCTAGTAGGGAAACTATTATCACAATTAGTATAACAAAATTAAATCAAAAATCAAATAAAACAGACTCTTTAGACAAACCAATGGAAGGAAATGATTAATATTACAAATATAGAAATAATAATTTAAAGATAATAATGCATCTAAGAATGTTTATAATTTAAAAAACAATCTATTTTTTTAGAATTATAAAACCTTAAAATATTTATTAAGAACACTTTAATAAAGTGAAAACAGTTTATTAAGATATTAGATTTGTTTATAATATATTTTTTTTATTGTTCGTTCATTCTAGATATCTATAGGGCTTCTCTAAAATTACTTAATTTTTCTAATATGATAACAAAAAACAGTTTATATTTAGAAGCTATTCACTCAACAGTATTAGATTATTTGATACTTTTGCAATTTTATATTACTTTTCTTTATCTAATTAGAAATTGATTAAAGGATTACAAATTTGAAAAGCCTCTGGATATCTATTTCACTCATTTAAAGCTTTAACTAAAAATAGTTTTAAATAATATATTTTTTTCAGCCAAAATATTCTTGTACTTTTTCATTGCTTCATCCTATGATTCAATAACTTATTCAAACAACCCTTATTTAAATAATGCTTAGGCTAAATTCAAAAAGATATATTAATCTCCGAAATTTTATATACATATCATTTTTATGTATGAATTCATTACATAATTTAAGAAGTTAATCTTTTTCATTTAATTCTGATAATATTGCTTAATAATGGTTTACACCTTAGAGCTTAAACTATTAAAAGATATCATCATTTATTACTTTATCCTTTGACTTAAAAAATAATTATTAATTTTATTCTATCAACAATTCCATAATTAATAAGAACAAAATTATTATTATTATTACATTATTCATTCAGTTGAATTCTTTCCTATAACTTTAAATAATACTAGTTTATAGAGCAGATATAGACTAAATTACATAGCTAATACAATTCCAATAATAATATATCTTTTGGCTTATTCCAAATAACTGAAAATTCTAATTTAATAAACTTTTATACTTTCTCATTCCCATTATTAAGAAACTTGATGAGCTGATTATACCATAGCCATCTAAGCACCATTAAAAAAATAGAATTTCGAATTGCACTTAAAATACTTATATTTATGCAATTCAAAAGTGCGCTGATTATGTAACATAAGCTACTGAATGTGTTTTTTAACCTTCTAAATGCATGTAGTTGATATTTGCGACAGCTGTAACTAGGAAGATATTATTAAATTGATTTTTGTATATTAATATTAATTTAATAATAATTTTTGCACAAATTCATTATGAATCGATTTTAGATATATAATATTTGCATTTACAGATCAGGATTTCCTGCGACACCTTCATGAAGACAATTTGAACTTTATCTAAAAATTATTTGAAAAATTCAATATCATAGTCGGCCATCATTAGAGAGGTAGTTTTTTTGCCTCACTGAAATTTGAGTGCTCAAGGATTCTTGCAAAAAATAAGAATTCATTTAACACTATACTTTAATGAAAACAAGGTACTTTTTATTAAAAGTAGGATGGGTGTTTAATAAAAAAATTAGATTCCTGGTGAATAAAGGGTAAAGAGATTACCGCATACTTTATCTCTAGTGTTGATGCATGAGATATTATATAATATTTATGAAATATAATAAGCCTCGGAAGAGTATTTTACTATTTCAGTTTTTTGCAAAACTCATTTGGATTTGAACTTTATTTCTTTCAAGTTGAAGAACAAAATATTATTCTCTATATATGACTGTCTTTACAACGTAAATTAATTCAATTTTAACGTTTTAGGTATGTATTAACATAACAGGTATTTATCAAATAACGATCAACTATAAAATTAAGATGAATAAGCATTAAATGGGTAATATCTATTTTGAAAACTATCAATTTTTTTTGTTAATTATTTTCAAAAAGGGAGCAGGCACTCATATATAATAAAGTATGATACACAAAACAGAGCAGAACAGATCAAGTACCTTTTGAATCATAAAAATCAATAATTCAAAATATAATTAGCAGAAGTATTTGGAGTAGTATATTTCTCAATATTCTAAAAGAGAAATATGAATTATAAAACTGAATACATCGACATCATAATCATTAAATCAAACATAATTCTTCATAGCTTTCGTTTTGATTAATTACAGTTTATGAGAATAAAAATTCTAACTTTCCACTTAATAGATAACTTATAGGAAGGTGACCTAAATTATTCATAACAAAGAAAAAAATATGTTTCATCTTATAAAAATTAATATTACTAATATATTATTATTTGTAAAAGATACATATATAATCAAATTAATAAGTCTTCCATAACTATGCAATTGGAATTCCCAATGTATAAATTAGAAATATTTCGTCCTTAACCAGAAATCTGTATGATTAAAAGCTAACTAAAAAGGCGAGATAAGTAAGGCTGCCCCAATTTCAGACATCATAAAAAATATAAATAAAGAGTTATTTAACAGTAACTTAACCAATTACGAAATTAAGATCTAGAGAGATGACTTAACTTAAAATTTTATATACTCTCTCCTGATAATTGGCTTCTCAATATTTCTCTCTTTTTTTGAGTCTCTAATAAATCCCGTGTATATCTACCTATCCATCTTTAATAGTGAATTATTTTAAAAGAATTTTTTCACTTTTGAATTAGGAGGACCATCATTTATGGAAGTAAGTAGATCAGATACGTTATTTAAGAGTGGATTGATTTTAAACACAAAAATTAAAGCTGTTTGGGATGTTTCTAAATTGATTCCAATCATGTTATGAATTAATATCCATGTGTCTAAGACTTCCTTACTTGCATTTATTTTGCTTATTTCTTGTCTTCCCTAATCTATTTCCATTATATATTTTATCCATATTCCTTTAATAATGTCGTGAAGACTGATAATTATGAATTGTAAGAACTTGTTGAAATACAATTTATGATTATTTAACAAATCATGCATAAAACAAGAATTTCTAATAATTTACCACATAAAATAACCCAGATGATGAATTGCCAATTATAATGGATTGTACCAAAAAATAAAGTGGACATTCATTCCCCAAAGTGCAACTTTATTTTCTTTCTCTCTTAATTAATAAATCTTTATGCATCATTTTTAATTTGAACCACTTTTAACATATAGTATCCAAGACTCTAACTCAAAGATTCTTCTATTTTTTTATACATTGATTCAATAAAACAAATTTCTTCAATTTCAAAAGCTATACCAACTTCTGGTTTCTACTAAGTAATAATTAAATATTAGTTTATATTAAGAAAAATTACATATCAAAAATTTGGTTACAACTTTAGTTGCATTAATCATAATAATTTACTCCAGTTTCATCTAAGAAAAAAACTATTCAATGTTAATTAGAATTAGATCCATTACGAGTTATTCTTCCTATTTTGCTTATTTCAAGTCTTCAATGCTTAAAAGATTTTTCTATTTATTTATTAGGTGAGAATTATTGGATAAAAGTTACTTTAATTAAATTTTTTTTGTTTTATTATATATTATTAATTAGAATTGGCATAATTATTTTGAAATAAGTTGATAAATTTAAGATAATTTAAAGCTGATTTTGATTTTGAATTTTTTTTAATATAAGGAATGAGATAGAAATTTAAAATCTATTAATAAAAATTCCATTTATAAAAGAAATAAAAAAAGTATATGTTAAACTGTTAATAATAATATTTTAAATATGGTAATATTCAATTAATAATTATCAAGAATATAGAAATAAATATAAAACTATTTTTTAGTAAACAACAAACTCAAAAATATGAAGAAATGATAAAATAGTAATCAAAACCAAAAATATACATTATAATTTAGAGTAGGTTTATATTAAAAATAAATTAATTCTCTTTATAATTTATTTAAAAATATTTAAATATTGATTATTTTTTATATTTTGAGTTAAATAGAAATTTTTTTAATGATGTTCATCATTAAAAATTATGTGATAATTGATTTCAAGTAATAGAATTTAGATATTCTTGATGCAAATAATGAATGATTTCTTTGAGAACAGTGGCATACGACTGATATCTCGATTAATAATTTATATTTTTAGGGGGCTTAAATAAGATTATGGATCTTGTTAATGCAAAACTTTGATTAATCTAATGTGCAGCTGATCTTGAAAAGCTGGATATAACTATTTCTATTTAGATGATAAGTAGATTAATATTTTTATTGTTATAAGAGATTTAAAGGATTATTCTTAGGTTGAACTTATTAGATGGTTAATATTTCATATATATATTTTGAGATTTTTGAATAATAATATTTTGCTAAAGGTGAATCCAAAATATTAAACAGCGAAAACAATTTTTAATTATGGACTCATTGTAATTAATATTAGGAAAATCCTATTTGATTATTACTTATAAGTCTACCATAGAAATATTCAATTTAGTATTTTTCAAATAAACTTTTTTTTAATTTTAGTGTATTAATATATATCAAATTCAATAGAAATACACATAAAAATGATTACAATAAATAATAGAGAGGATATAAACAAATGTATAATGGATTTTTCTTAAGAGTTCTTGGTTATTATATTTTTTATAAATTGGTCTCTGTGTATTAAGTAGAATTATAGAAATCCTAATTTTGGTCAATTGTAGCATTTTTTACTATTGGAAGAAAAATTATACTATTGATTTTATTATTATCCCTTCTCTGTAAAAAAGAAATCATTTAATTAATGAACTTGTATTTGTGTTATTTACTTTAGGAAAAAGAAAATCAAAATAAAAATTAAAGGTAATAAGTTCTTACTGATATATTTGATGTCAATTTTAGATAATATTAATGTTTTTAATATTTTTCCCTTCTTCTTTTAATAAAGTGTTATTAAATATATTAATAATTTAAGGAATTGTTATTAACCTAAATCTTAAATTAATAATTAATATAAAAAATGAACATAAACGAATTATAATGCCTAAAAGAATATCATTATTCTAAGCCAATTATGGGAGTGTGCATTGATTAATAATGCATAGAGGATAAATCTTTCTGTCATGAATGTTATATGAATTGTCATAGACATGACAAAAATAAATTGTACCTTTTTCCCAGTTTGGAAGATTGGTTTAAATAGTTTTTTATGAAGTTTGAATGTGCAATATAAGAAATGACAGAATCTTTTTCATTAATAGAGAACTTAAAAAAAAATTTTAATCAATTTAAGATAGCATAATTAAATTTATTTATGAAAGAAGTGGTAAATTTAGAAAAACAAATAGATATGCTCAATCTTAATTTAAACTCATTTATCTTACAATTATGTTAATTGAGTCAATAAACTCAATAAAATCAATAGAGTTAATAAACTCAATAGAATCAATAGAGTCAATAAAATCAATAGAATCAATAGAGCCAATATAATCAATAGAATCAATAAAGCCAATATAATCAATAGAATCAATAGAGCCAATATAATCAATAGAGTCAATAGAGCCAATAAAATCAATAGAGTCAATAGAGTCAATAAAATCAATAGAGTCATTAGAGTCGATAGAATCATTAAAGTCTATAGAACCGATAGAATCAATAGAGTCAATTCATTATCTAATTCAATAAAATTTCATATAATGATTTAATTACTTAAAATGAGAATACTAACATACAAGATTAAAAAAGAAATTAAATATAATAGACTCAGGG